AAAGTGCTTGTCCTCCCAGACAAGGACAAAGAGCCTCTTCGGTAGGTTTAGGGACAATGCATCAAAATAACGCGGTCATTGTTGCAATGTCAGGAATGCTATTATTACCTCCTCTTTGGTAATCCTCGCATTTGACCAAACAAAAGTCACTCAATGAAGGGAGGGTCAGGTTTGTTTTCAATTCACTAATATTATTGATGCCATGTCAGAAAGAGCTGAGTAGTTTGTTACGTAACTATTCAAAAATTGCAGGTGCAAGCTATTGAAAACAGAATCGAATAGCCAAGCTTCCCTATTCATTGGTGCCCTGTTATAGAATTCGTAGCATATACTGAATTGAATAGACCCGTGTTCTATTCATTATACTATGTGAGGGCAGTGGCCTCTTGTCATATCACTTTAAGTTTAAGTCAGCAGTTTGCAAATTAAATGAAATAAACATAAAACCCACTATTATATCAGTAATATCAGTAACTGAAAGAAAAAAAATACGGGCAATCTTGACAACATCGGACTACAAAAATGATGATAATAATGCATCCCGAAAGCGTCAAATCAGTAAATCGGCACATTTTGTAAAGTCATTAGCATGCAGAAAGTGTTAACAACAAAAAGCGAACCAGTTATCACGGTGAGGCAAAATGGTCTTGTGGATAAAAGTGATCACTTCACAATGCAATGTACTCGGTTCGAGTCTCAGTTTCTCCTTTATATAAACCCATGTTATTTTTTTCTTCACTCCATAATATTGACTTGTCATCTCTTTTTTAAAGGGGACACCCCCCCCCCTCAACAAAGAAAAAATAGCATGTAATACTCTTCTTTAACAAGCGACTCTCTGAATTAGTCAGAAAACATCTTTTGCTACATCTACAACAATTAGTGTAAGTATGAAGAATACATGAAGATTAGCAATGTGACACTTTAGTCTAGTGGGTAGGCAATCGTCTGATAACTGGAAGGTATCGGGTTCGACCCCAGCTGTTGCGTTTTTTTCTTTTGCTACATCTACAACAATAAGTATAAGTATGAAAAAAAAACATGGAGATTAGCAATGTGACACTTTAGTCTAGTGGGTAGGCAATCGCCTGGTAACTGGAAGGTATCGGGTTCGACCCCAGCTGTTGCGTTTTTTCTTTGCTACATCTACAACAATAAGTATAAGTATGAAGAAAAAAACATGGAGATTAGCAATGTGACGCTTTAGTCTAGTGGGTAGGCAATCGCCTGGTAACTGGAAGGTATCGGGTTCGACCCCCAGCTGTTGCGTTTTTTCTTTTGCTACATCTACAACAATAAGTATAAGTATGAAAAAAAAACATGGAGATTAGCAATGTGACACTTTAGTCTAGTGGGTAGGCAATCGCCTGGTAACTGGAAGGTATCGGGTTCGACACCCAGCTGTTGCTTTTTTTTAATCTTTGAAAAAGAAAAACTGATGTCAAACCCATTTTGATCTCACTCAAAGTCCATATTTATTGCTATTCTCTTAATTGATCTATACAATGAGCTTGCAATTAACTTGTAAGCAAGGTAAAGTATTATATTTACGAAGTACAAGAAGGACAGGAATCCTGTTTTATCTATTTATCAAACATTATTACATTCAATACTTTTTCAGTCCCAATGAGAGAGAGAGAGAGAGAAAGAGAAAGAGAGCCAGAAAGAGACAAGTGAAGAGAACCCAATACACCTCATCAGTGTAATAAAGTCTGATGATCTTAATCTACATACTTACTTCAAATATTTTGCCGGGCAGATATTATATTTATAAAAACAAACCAATTTTGGAGTTTTATAATAAATATTATTGTTGTGTTGTTGTTGATGTAAAACAATGAGAAAATAGGGGACCTTTTGCGGGGGGGGGGGGAGCAATGTAGAAAAAAACTACAGGGGAGCCTTGGGATTTTTATTTGGGGGGGGGGGGGTGGGTATCGGCGCGGATTCAGGATTTCTTAGGGGGGCCCAAACTTGAAATCAATTTGAAATTTAATGTGCTGAAATAAAAAAAATCGTGCCGGCCGATATTTCACTCAGTGGTAGAGGGGGAAGGGGGAGGGGGGGGGGGGTAGAGAGCACTATTTTTTTGTTTGGCCCTCGAAAATTTGAAAAATCACCCCCCCCCCCACATTAATCGCCAGGGGGGTCCCATCTAGACAGCTAGCTGGCAATCGACAGCTAGCTGGCAATCGACAGCTAGCTGGCAATCGACAGCTAGCTGGGCAATCGACAGCTAGCTGGCAATCGACAGCTAGCTGGCAATCGACAGCTAGCTGGCAATCGACAGCTAGCTGGCAATCGACAGCTAGCTGGCAATCGACAGCTAGCTGGCAATCGACAGCTAGCTGGCAATCGACAGCTAGCTGGCAATCGACAGCTAGCTGGCAATCGACAGCTAGCTGGCAATCGACAGCTAGCTGGCAATCGACAGCTAGCTGGCAATCGACAGCTAGCTGGCAATCGACAGCGTAGCCTGGCGGCGGTAGCGGGTAGCCCCAAAGCCATGTCCATTTAAAAACTGCATTTAAGAGCCTCTTATTGCTAGGTTTACAACGTTGTTTTACATTTGGAATTATAATTTCCTAGTTTTATTCACTCTCTACAGTCCCGTACTATCCCTTTTTCAGTCTGTAAACAACTTTGCAACACGAAAACAATGATGAACAGGGTTTTACTTCTCGTATAAATTTATTAGAAGTGCCCTATGTCATTTTGCACGAAGTGATACAAAGGGCCTTTCAAATTTAAGTCTATTGAAAGCATTCCCCCACCTAGCCTGTATGACCGAGCAGAATCATTTAGTGCTCAACAATAAAAATCCATAGTCTTGGCTAAAGAGGTCCATTATTTGTTTGTTTATTTAGTTATTTTATTTAATTGACATTGTACAGTACTATTAAATATCAGGTATATTGGATGCTCTGTTTTAAATACAGTCAAGATTGCCGAGCAATGAATTACATCCTGCTTCTTGTCCTCAAACCATATCTTTCTGGTTTTTAAAACGGTATCATTTGAATTTCCATTTCCAAGCATTATTTTGAACTGTCCCGAAATTGTTTTCCTTTCTTGAAATCAGACTACAGCCCCAGTCTAAAGTGCTTGTCCTCCCAGACAAGGACAAAGAGCCTCTTCGGTAGGTTTAGGGACAATGCATCAAAATAACGCGGTCATTGTTGCAATGTCAGGAATGCTATTATTACCTCCTCTTTGGTAATCCTCGCATTTGACCAAACAAAAGTCACTCAATGAAGGGAGGGTCAGGTTTGTTTTCAATTCACTAATATTATTGATGCCATGTCAGAAAGAGCTGAGTAGTTTGTTACGTAACTATTCAAAAATTGCAGGTGCAAGCTATTGAAAACAGAATCGAATAGCCAAGCTTCCCTATTCATTGGTGCCCTGTTATAGAATTCGTAGCATATACTGAATTGAATAGACCCGTGTTCTATTCATTATACTATGTGAGGGCAGTGGCCTCTTGTCATATCACTTTAAGTTTAAGTCAGCAGTTTGCAAATTAAATGAAATAAACATAAAACCCCACTATTATATCAGTAATATCAGTAACTGAAAGAAAAAAAATACGGGCAATCTTGACAACATCGGACTACAAAAATGATGATAATAATGCATCCCGAAAGCGTCAAATCAGTAAATCGGCACATTTTGTAAAGTCATTAGCATGCAGAAAGTGTTAACAACAAAAAGCGAACCAGTTATCACGGTGAGGCAAAATGGTCTTGTGGATAAAAGTGATCACTTCACAATGCAATGTACTCGGTTCGAGTCTCAGTTTCTCCTTTATATAAACCCATGTTATTTTTTTTCTTCACTCCATAATATTGACTTGTCATCTCTTTTTTAAAGGGGACACCCCCCCCCCTCAACAAAGAAAAAATAGCATGTAATACTCTTTCTTTAACAAGCGACTCTCTGAATTAGTCAGAAAACATCTTTTGCTACATCTACAACAATTAGTGTAAGTATGAAGAATACATGAAGATTAGCAATGTGACACTTTAGTCTAGTGGGTAGGCAATCGTCTGATAACTGGAAGGTATCGGGTTCGACCCCCAGCTGTTGCGTTTTTTTCTTTTGCTACATCTACAACAATAAGTATAAGTATGAAAAAAAACATGGAGATTAGCAATGTGACACTTTAGTCTAGTGGGTAGGCAATCGCCTGGTAACTGGAAGGTATCGGGTTCGACCCCCAGCTGTTGCGTTTTTTTCTTTTGCTACATCTACAACAATACCCTAGTAGTTTTGTGTGTTGCGAAAATATATTTTTTCCCTATTTTTTCCTATTTTTTCCCTATTTTCTGGAAATGCAGACTATTTTTCCCTATTTCCTTCAAGAAAATAGGAAAAAAATAGGGCTATTTTTTTCCTATTTTCAAGCACAAACTATTTTTCCCTATTTTTTTCACCTATATTTTTTTTCAGACTATTTTTTTCCTATTTCCTATAAAAAAACAGGGAAAAAATAGTCCTATTTTTTTCCTATTTTCAAGTACAAAACTTTTCCCTATTTTTGTCACCTATATTTTTTTTCAGACTATTTTTTTCCTATTTCCTATAAGAAAACAGGAAAAAAATAGTCCTAATTTTTTCCTATTTTCAAGCACAAACTATTTTTCCCCCATTTTTTTTACCTTCAACTTTTGTGGACTATTTTATTCCTATTTTTTTTAAAGAAAATAGAAAAAAAATAGTTCTATTTTTTCCTATTCTCGAGTACCAAACTATTTTTTCCCTATTTTTTCACCTTCATCTTTTTCAGACTATTTTTTGCCTATTTTCTCAAATAAAATAGGACTATTTTTTCCCTATTTTTTCATCTTAATCTTTTTCAGACTATTTTTTCCCTATTTTTTCACCTTTATCTTTTTCAGACTTCTTTTTACCTATTTGCGAGTACTATTTTCTTCCTATTTTTTGCACTTAAATTTTTTATGACATGATACAAATTTGTAAACTATTTTTTGTTATTTTCTAAACTTGCATATTTTCATTGTTTATGACTGGCATCCTATTCAAAAAGCCCGCTTCTCCTGCCATTATCTCTGTTGTTCATTTTGCGACTTATTGGTTGTTTTTAGCTGTGGGGTCACATATTGAATAGTGAGCTCAAAGATGACCATAAATAAACAATGTGTAAAAAGAAAATGTACGAAATTTCAATTTTGTTCCTTTATTAATATTCTTGATTTTATTTACAAACTATAGTAGTGACTAGTGCACTCAAAGATAACCATACATAAACCATGTGTAAAAAGAAAATGTACACATAGAAATTTCAACCAAAAAAAATCTCCTTTATTAATAGAAAAAAAAGCATTCGATCGAGATATTCCCGTTCTATGTGCATGTGTGCGCAAAAGTTTCAACGTAGAGGACAGTACGCAAGTACGTAATTTGAAAATTACCCGTTATTTTTTTTCCCCACTGGCACTGCTGTGCGCATCGGACTTTTGCTGATTTTCGTTCATCAAACGTCTCCAAATCACACCAAAATGTCTTCCAGCAATTATTCTAGCGATGAAATTTCATCAAGAGATAGTGACTCCTCATACTCCGATGCCTCCTTATCCCATTTTAGTGATTCTTCCCAAGAAAGTGAGCCCGACAAATGTTCAAAATATTACTAGTCCCACTCGTAGAGAAACGAGTTTGTTGTCGAATTACGGACTATCGACGAGCGGAACTGGCCCCAGAAAAACAGCTGAAAAGGTACGTTTATTTCTGAAACTTAATTATATTATGATATATATATTTTATTGTGTCTGTTGTTGAATATAATGCTACTTCATAGACATAATAGGCCTATAGAATGTTATTTTACGTATCAATATTCCCATGTACTAGTGTTGAGGTTGTAGACTACACAACTTCTTAGTGAGTGTAGTGTAGTGAATCTCCAAGTGCAGTGTAGTGTCTGTTAGTGAATGAGTGAATGTAAACAAACGTGATTACAATAAATCCACGTAAAAAATTTCAGATTTTGTACCATTACTACGTCTGTCAATTATTTTGCCTTGCATGATATAATGTTTTGATGTGGTTTTAGGCTAAATTGTATCTCAAATTATTTTTCTAGGAATCAGAAAACACAACCTGCTAAAGCACCACGCAAGAAGAAGAGCAAGTCTTCCAAGTCCGAGAGTGTGTCTGCGAGGTATGTCCTTACTAAGTAGAAATCTAAATCTATTGTTGATAATTTTTTTGGGTTTATTTATTTCATGTTTGTTAGTTAAGATCTGACATCAAAATATTAGAGTAGTTTACCTCATCATTATGCTAGAACAATAATTTGCAGGTGGCACAAGTTCTACCTAGATCTACATTATTTTTCTCTTTCCTTTTTATTTTTTTCTTCAACAAATTGTTCCTTTACTATTTTCTTTTCTGTGTTTTATGTTTTATTTTATGTATGTTCACCCAATATATCTAAGAATAAAATAACTCTAATTAATTGCCTACCTGAGTGGTTTACATTTCATGCACCTTGACAGCTCTTTGATGACTCCGTTGTTTCACCATCCGTTCGTCGTCAGCCTGGCATCTTTTTTGCTATCGTACTTTTGTACACACATGTTCTGTGCCTTTGAATTTTTCATTATGAAATACATAAATACTTGTACTAAGTATTAATTGCATGTTCATAAATGTACCAATGCATGATTATTCTAACCCCTAACTCACATTTCATTTATATCTTTACAGATCAATAGAAACTAATCAAGCTACAATGTACATGTAACGTACAATCACCATTCGATGCCTGTGAACAGCATGACCAACATCTGTATCCTTTACATTAGTATTTGTTTCCATTTTATTATGTAATTCTTATGTCTAATCATTGAGATTTATAGGCAAGTACAACATGTATGTGTACACAATGAGTGCCTGCATATTGTGAAGATAAAGGACCATAAGACCATTACTTATGATACATGGTAATGATGGTATACTTTGTAAAACTATTTGAAAATAGTAGCATGTAAGTCTGTCATTTTCTTGTTTATATATATCTCAATGACATGACATGTCATTGATTTTGTAGTAAGTGTTTCTAGATTATGATGATTGTATTAAGATTTTGACAGTTCAATTGAGATTGAGAAAATTATGTAACATGTCAACTGTACAATAGAGCATGCATGCATTGTTGAAAAATCTGTTTTATGATTTATTTTATTTTGTTATCTTTGTAAATAACGAGAAATTTTTTTTTACTTGTCATGATTTTCTCGAGGTTTGAAAATGTTATTACATTATTAAGAGCACTTTGCAATTAAATTGTAATAAAAGAGACAGAAAACAACACTCTCATGTCAAGAATACTGCTTTATTTGGTTACTAGTGAGGGAGAGAGCTTGTGATCGCCTGGCATATCCACATCGGCTCAGTAATAGTCCTGAAACTCACCTGAATACTTTATTTGAACAAAAATAGAAAGCTACATTCTAGGTGGATGATATTTTTTTAAGGCGGAGGCATATAGGAGACGCAGTCGCATTTGTCTTGTTTTTTTTTTTTTAGAGTATAATCATAGCAAACCATGAACAACTCTATTACTACAACATGTACACTACAGTACTTAACCAAAGATTGTAAATATCAGTTAAGTTCTTTATTTATTTGCTTACATGAACACACATACTATACTAAACTCATGTCATTGTGTTTACCTCTCGAAAATAAAGTACATGTATTTTATTTGACATGTTCCCTTTTATTCTTTTTGTTTGTTACAGTCCACTGCCATTATAACGAGGTGCTCGAGACCAAGCCAATTTCCTTGTTAAAATGAAATCATGTTATACTCAAGTTACTGAACACATTGGTTTGTTTAAAATTGGGACTGATGAGAATTGCCTGATAATAAAATCTTGGTGTATCCATGTTCGTTATAATAGGAGTGGACTGTATACATTTTCCATATACCCATTGACTATTTTAAATGTTCTACTGAATGGATTGGACTGAAAGGATGAAGTGAATTTGGCAAACTGAGTAGGTGCATCGATGCAGAGAAAAGAGCTGTAGGAGTAGGGTGACTATTCTACAGTGGAAACTTTTGACAATGAGGTCATGTGCAACCAAGAAATCTTAACCCCCAAAAGCTGTTAAATTACCTTGTCATTTCAGGTATAACTGATCTCTTTATATCAAGTTTGCACTGTATGATTTAATTGAATGTACAGAGTCGTTGACTGGATGTGTGAGATGGTAGTGCTTGAGAAATCCATGAAAGTAAAGGATGAGTGACCCCCCCCCCCCCTATTTCCTGACTATTTTTTTCTGATTTCCTCACTTATTGTCTATTTTTTTCCTATTTCCTTACTATTTTTTTCCTATTTTCTTACTATTTTTCCCTATTTCTTACTATTTTTTTCCTATTTTCTTACTATTTCCCCTATTTTTCTTACTATTTTTTTCCTATTTTCTTACTATTTTTTTTCCTATTTTCTTGCTATTTTTTCCTATTTCCTTACTATTTTCCCCTATTTTCTTACTATTTTTTCCCTATTTTCTTACTATTTTTTCCTATTTCCTCACTATTTTTTTCCTATTTCCTCACTATTTTTCACTGTCCACTAGCACCTAGTTATCACTATTTTTTTACTATTTTCTTCACCAGTTTCTACACTATTTTTTCCCTATTTTTTTTCCTATTTTTAGTCTGAAAAATAGGAAAAAAACTAGGAAAAAAATAGAAAAAATTGTTTCAAAACTTTTTTTTTTCCTATTTCCAAAACTATTTTCCCCTATTTTTTCCTTAAAAAAAAATAGGGAAAAAATAGAAAAAAATATATTTTCGGGGACTATTTTTTTCCTTATTTTTCCCCTATTTTTTTCCTATTTTTTTACGACTGGGGTAAGTATAAGTATGAAGAAAAAAACATGGAGATTAGCAATGTGACGCTTTAGTCTAGTGGGTAGGCAATCGCCTGGTAACTGGAAGGTATCGGGTTCGACCCCCAGCTGTTGCGTTTTTTTCTTTTGCTACATCTACAACAATAAGTATAAAGTATGAAAAAAAAAAACATGGAGATTAGCAATGTGACACTTTAGTCTAGTGGGTAGGCAATCGCCTGGTAACTGGAAGGTATCGGGTTCGACACCCAGCTGTTGCTGTTTTTTTAATCTTTGAAAAAGAAAAACTGATGTCAAACCCATTTGATCTCACTCAAAGTCCCTATTTATTGCCTATTCTCTTAATTGATCTATACAATGAGCTTGCAATTAACTTGTAAGCAAGGTAAAGTATTATATTTACGAAGTACAAGAAGGACAGGAATCCTGTTTTATCTATTTATCAAACATTATTACATTCAATACTTTTTCAGTCCAATGAGAGAGAGAGAGAGAGAAAGAGAAAGAGAGCCAGAAAGAGACAAGGAAGAGAACCCAATACACCTCATCAGTGTAATAAAGTCTGATGATCTTAATCTACATACTTACTTCAAATATTTTGCCCGGGCAGATGTTATTATTTATAAAAACAAACCAATTTTGGAGTTTTATAATAAATATTATGTTGTTGTTGTTGTTGATGTAAAAACAATGAGAAAATAGGGACCTTTTGCGGGGGGGGGGGAGCAATGTAGAAAAAAACTACAGGGAGCCTTGGGATTTTTATTTGGGGGGGGGGTGGGTATCGGCGCGGATTCAGGATTTCTTAGGGGGGCCCAAACTTGAAATCAATTTGAAATTTAATGTGCTGAAAATAAAAAAAAATCGTGCCGGCCGATATTTCACTGCAGTGGTAGAGGGGGAAGGGGGAGGGGGGGGGGGGGGGTAGAGAGCACTATTTTTTTTGTTTGGCCCTCGAAAATTTGAAAAAAATACCCCCCCCCCCCCCCACATTAATCGCCAGGGGGGGGTCCCATCTAGACAGCTAGCTGGACAATCGACAGCTAGCTGGCAATCGACAGCTAGCTGGCAATCCCAAAGCCATGTCCATTTAAAAACTGCATTTAAGAGCTCTTATTGCTAGGTTTACAACGTTGTTTTACATTTGTAATTATAATTTCTAGTTTATTCACTCTCTACAGTCCCGTACTATCCCTTTTTCAGTCTGTAAACAACTTTGCAACACGAAAAACAATGATGAACAGGGTTTTACTTCTCGTATAAATTTATTAGAAGTGCCCTATGTCATTTTGCACGAAGTGATACAAAGGGCCTTTCAAATTTAAGTCTATTTGAAAGCATTCCCCCACCTAGCCTGTATGACCGAGCAGAATCATTTAGTGCTCAACAATAAAAATCCATAGTCTTGGCTAAAGAGGTCCATTATTTGTTTGTTATTTAGTTATTTTATTAATTGACATTGTACAGTACTATTAAATAATCAGGTATATGGGATGCTCTGTTTTAAATACAGTCAAGATTGCCGAGCAATGAATTACATCCTGCTTCTTGTCCTCAAACCATATCTTTCTGGTTTTTAAAACGGGTATCATTTGAATTTCCATTTCCAAGCATTATTTTGAACTGTCCCGAAATTGTTTTCCTTTCTTGAAATCAGACTACAGCCCCAGTCTAAAGTGCTTGTCCTCCCAGACAAGGACAAAGAGCTCTTCGGTAAGAGTTTAGGGACAATGCATCAAAATAACGCGGTCATTGTTGCAATGTCAGGAATGCTATTATTACCTCCTCTTTGGTAATCCTCGCATTTGACCAAACAAAAGTCACTCAATGAAGGGAGGGTCAGGTTTGTTTTCAATTCACTAATATTATTGATGCCATGTCAGAAAGAGCTGATAGTTTGTTACGTAACTATTCAAAAATTGCAGGTGCAAGCTATTGAAAACAGAATCGAATAGCCAAGCTTCCCTATTCATTGGTGCCATGTTTATAGAATTCGTAGCATATACTGAATTGAATAGACCCGTGTTCTATTCATTATACTATGTGAGGGCAGTGGCCTCTTTGTCATATCACTTTAAGTTTAAGTCAGCAGTTTGCAAATTAAATGAAAAACATTAAACCCCACTATTATAATCAGTAAATCAGTAACTGAAAGAAAAAAAATACGGGCAATCTTGACAACATCGGACTACAAAAATGATGATAATAATGCTCCCGAAAGCGTAAATCAGTAAATCGGCACGGGCAGATATTATTTATAAAAACAAACCAATTTTGGAGTTTTATAATAAATATTATTGTTGTTGTGTTGTTGATGTAAAACAATGAGAAAATAGGGACCTTTGCGGGGGGGGGGGGAGCAATGTAGAAAAAAACTACAGGGGAGCCTTGGGATTTTTATTTGGGGGGGGGGTGGGTATCGGCGCGGATTCAGGATTTCTTAGGGGGGCCCAAACTTGAAATCAATTTGAAATTTAATGTGCTGAAATAAAAAAAAAATCGTGCCGGCCGATATTTCACTCAGTGGTAGAGGGGGAAGGGGGAGGGGGGGGGGGGGGGGGTAGAGAGCACTATTTTTTTGTTTGGCCCTCGAAAATTTGAAAAATCACCCCCCCCCCCCCATTAATCGCCAGGGGGGTCCCATCTAGACAGCTAGCTGGCAATCGACAGCTAGCTGGCAATCGACAGCTAGCTGGCAATCGACAGCTAGCTGGCAATCGACAGCTAGCTGGCAATCGACAGCTAGCTGGCAATCGACAGCTAGTGGCAATCGACAGCTAGCTGGCAATCGACAGCTAGCTGGCAATCGACAGCTAGCTGGCAATCGACAGCTAGCTGGCAATCGACAGCTAGCTGGCAATCGACAGCTAGCTGGCAATCGACAGCTAGCTGGCAATCGACAGCTAGCTGGCAATCGAAGCGTAGCTGGCGGCGGTAGCGGGTAGCCCCAAAGCCATGTCCATTTAAAAACTGCATTCAAGAGCCTCTTATTGCTAGGTTTACAACGTTGTTTTACATTTGCAATTATAATTTCCTAGTTTTATTCACTCTCTACAGTCCCGTACTATCCCTTTTTCAGTCTGTAAACAACTTTGCAACACGAAAACAATGATGAACAGGGTTTTACTTCTCGTATAAATTTATTAGAAGTGCCCTATGTCATTTTGCACGAAGTGATACAAAGGGCCTTTCAAATTTAAGTCTATTGAAAGCATTCCCCCACCTAGCCTGTATGACCGAGCAGAATCATTTAGTGCTCAACAATAAAAATCCACAGTCTTGGCTAAAGAGGTCCATTATTTGTTTGTTTATTTAGTTATTTATTTAATTGACATTGTACAGTACTATTAAATATCAGGTATATTGGATGCTCTGTTTTAAATACAGTCAAGATTGCCGAGCAATGAATTACATCCTGCTTCTTGTCCTCAAACCATATCTTTCTGGTTTTTAAAACGGTATCATTTGAATTTCCATTTCCAAGCATTATTTTGAACTGTCCCGAAATTGTTTTCCTTTCTTGAAATCAGACTACAGCCCCAGTCTAAAGTGCTTGTCCTCCCAGACAAGGACAAAGAGCCTCTTCGGTAGGTTTAGGGACAATGCATCAAAATAACGCGGTCATTGTTGCAATGTCAGGAATGCTATTATTACCTCCTCTTTGGTAATCCTCGCATTTGACCAAACAAAAGTCACTCAATGAAGGGAGGGTCAGGTTTGTTTTCAATTCACTAATATTATTGATGCCATGTCAGAAAGAGCTGAGTAGTTTGTTACGTAACTATTCAAAAATTGCAGGTGCAAGCTATTGAAAACAGAATCGAATAGCCAAGCTTCCCTATTCATTGGTGCCCTGTTATAGAATTCGTAGCATATACTGAATTGAATAGACCCGTGTTCTATTCATTATACTATGTGAGGGCAGTGGCCTCTTGTCATATCACTTTAAGTTTAAGTCAGCAGTTTGCAAATTAAATGAAATAAACATAAAACCTCACTATTATATCAGTAATATCAGTAACTGAAAGAAAAAAAATACGGGCAATCTTGA